TGAGTTTGTTTGTTCCGACTTCACGCCGTAACTACTAAACCGATTGCATTGAACTTTTGGAGACGTAAAGTTAGTAGTCTGGATTAAATAATAGGGTACTTTTATCCCGAAAAAATTTTATATTCCCGAGGGAAAACAAAAGTATTGGTATAGATGGCGCTGTATGTATTGGGATATGTCACATAGGCTACTTTTTATCCTTTTGTGACGCGAGCGAAGCCGCGGGTAAAAGCTAGTCTATCTATGTCTATGGGCAGTTAAGTACGGGCGTCTCTTGGCGCCCTTCTGTTACCTGGCGCCATAGACCCTTATCTAGTTTGCCTTAGCCATAATACGGCTCTGTACACGGGTAATCAGAAACCCGCAATATACCACAAAGGGTGTTTCAAAAGTGATTTTATTAAGTGCGCCCTATATACAGGGTGGGGTCGATTAGCAATTAGTGTGTTTGAGAGTATAAGGGGTGTCTCTTTAATATTTTTTATTGCTTTTTGTGGTTCTTTGTGTTGTATTGGGGGTCTTTTATTGGTTCGTCATTGTGGATGTGTTTTGATGAAAATTTTAAACTTTTTTTTAAACTATTGCTGGTGTATTGTTGAGTCAAGTGGTTGTTGTTGGTTTTGAAGTCGATTCTTGGTATTTTTTTTAAGAGGGAAAATCATCGAATGTCTGCTCCCGCCTGAGGAGGCGGGAGGGAGTGTCACTCTTACTGACTAAGGACCACCCCGTTCCTTCTCCTGCACGTCTAGCTGGAGCTTCGGTAACCCGTTCGGTTCTCCGCTATCAACAAAGATGGGATTGAACCTGCGACCCGTCATCTTAAATCTCATGCGATAACCATTGCGCCACGCTTGCAACTGAGTCTTGGTGTTGGGAATACTATTTGAAAGTGTTTTAGTATCTTGTTTGTCTACGGATATCTATTTTATTATTGTCTATGTCTATATATGCGTATATATTAGACTGCCTCTTTGGCCGAGTGGTCGTAAGTGCGACTGCCGGGCAAGGGGTCTCGGGTTCGATTCCCGAGTCGGGCAAAGTTTTACTGGGTTTTTAAATATTCTCAGTAGTAGCACGGAGTCTGGAATTGTGCCCGGTATATAGCAATAGGCTCACCCCCTATTACATGGGACTCATAACATAAATAGTGAAAAGTGGGTGTTACATTGTACAGTGGTATAATGTGCACCTCTGCCTACCCTTTCGGGGATAAAAGGCGTGATGTTATGTTATGTTATTAGACTGAAATGAGGTTGCCAGTTTGATTTCCATGTGGAGCATTAAGAACCTAGTCTATCCAGTCACCTAAAATTTTATTATTTAGGTAGAATTAGACTTACAATTCTACACAGTACTCCCTTATTTAAATACCTAATCTCCAATAAAATAAATAGAAACGTATATAAATGTAAATAGCTGAAGCAACAAAATAAAATAAAATTTTACGCATATTTCGCTTTCTCGATTCGGCCATCTTTGAACAAATTGTTGTGTTCAGCAATATTTGTTAACAATGCCATCTAGTGAGGAGTTCGAGAGGCAATTTCATTTGTAATAGTAATTTTCTTGATGTCTTCTGAAGTTCGCAATTTCGCATTGAGAATAAGGTTTTTGAATATTGTTATAACCTTTTAGCATTGTTCCAATTTAGTTTCCAAAATTCCATTTTATTATACTATGATCATAACAGTTTGTCTAATCGCTGATTCACAATATAAAAGATTCATGTTTATCAGAGAGCGCTTCTGCCCGGTATCTGTCAAATATGTAGTCCCCTAGTCGGGTATACGACACCCGCGGGAAGAGTAGGGATGGTGACAAATTTATTCTACCCTACCTATCGTCAACCACACGTCTCAAAATAATATACATTTATTTATTTACCATTACATAATAAAAGCATTACTTTTATTGCAATTTCACTTAGTAAGTAGGTACTCCTGCTAACCCTCTAACGTCATAAAAAGCTACATAATTGCCATTCTCGGGGCAATCGAATTTGCCAACCCTAATCTCTAGGGTTGCCAATAATAGACATATATCATTTACAAATCGTACAATTTGTTTTTATTACGTGGTAACCATTGGTGGACTGCGACAGGGTTGGCACGTGCTCGCTTTAAATTGTATTAGTTTTTTTTAGTTTTTAACCGACTAATGGAAAAAAGGAGGTTCTTAATTTGACCTGTATGTTTGTTTGAGTAATATCAGGAATCGGTAATATTAGGAATCGGACCCTATATGCGGATGCTTCGCAGTAGGAGGAGTCAGCATCCCAGTCCCCCTCGCTCCGTACCATATTCTGAACTAAACCGGGCGCGAGAGGTCGCCTTCGCCGATCACATCCCTGAGGACACGGCGGTGCTCAGCCCACGCATGGTACACCGCTACCGTATGCTCCACAGTGTCCTCCAAAACATCACGCTACGATCAATAGGAGCCAAGCAGTGCGAGTTAAACCGCGCGGAAATAGCCAATAAGTACTAAATTAGTATATTATCCGAGATATTCACTTGTCTTACCCGTATAACATCACGCCCCTTAAAACAACAAGGCACTTCACTAAACAAAACAATTTGTCATAATATCGTTTCCGAAAGCTCTTAATGTGATTACGGACACCCCTAATGTAACCTAACCTTTTAAGTGATGACCCTTACGGCGAACTTGAGTGAGTGTAAGTGAAATGGAATGAGTAAGTTTTGTTGAGGTCATAGAGATCAGGGTGGGTAAGCAGAGTGCTTCGAATGACACAAGGATGTTGAAAAAATGGCGGACGCAACGTCACATAGAATAGATTGAAGCACCGAAATATTAGTGGTGTATTTATGTGTGCGTGTACTTGCAACACCGTAATGTATGAAGTGTAACGACGGGCCGTGTCACGTGACAGATGTCCTTCGTGTCAATGTGTGTGTGTTCTGCGTGTAAGTCTATAGTAGCCAGGTGCTACAGTCGTTGTTTTTTTGCTTTGTATAAGCCGGTAAACGAGCAGTTAAATCACCTGATGGTAAGCAATCAGCGTCGCCTGTAGACACCTGGAACGCCAGAGGTGTTACAAGTGCGTTAGCAGCGTTTTGGGGATTAGGAATTTGAGAATTGTGGGGGATTCAGTCTCGCTAAAACTTGAGAACTGCTGAACCGATTTGTCTAATTTTAGTCTTGAAATGTTCGTGGAAGTCCAGGGGAGGTTGAAGCGGTGAGAAAATAGATTAGGTATTACGAAGTTTCCAGGTTCAGCTGGTTTAGTATAAAATCGTAGAAAAGCAAGAATTTTTTTTGGCCATAGTCAAAGTCAAGTCAAAGTCAAAATCATTTATTTCAGTTAGACTAGAAAGGCACTTTTGAACGTTAACAACAAAATATTTAAATATTAAATAATAATAAAAATGTCAGTCTGTAGGTCAGTCCTCTAGTGAAGCTATTTGCTCGTTCCAAAGTGTAGATTCCTATGGATACCAGCCCTAACTCTTTATTGAATAGCACTTTACGTGTTTATTAACTGAAACGACTGACATTGTGTGGTTATATTACTTGGGGAATAACAGACTGTCTAGGTACTTAGAAAAATTAATAATGTAGGTGTAATATTGATACATTTGTCACCACCTATATTCTTCCCGCGGGTGTATAGACACCCAGTCTGTGAGAGGACATGCTGGACTATATACCTCCTCTACAGAATACAGAGGAGTTTTTTTGCCACAATCTCCACGCTTGTAGAGCGAACTGGAGATTTCAGTTTGAAAGGTTCACTCAAACTCATCAACAAACATAAATAGTGAAAAGTGAGTGTTACATTGTATAGTGGCATAATATGTACCTCTGCCTACACCTTCGGGGAAAAAAGCGTGATGTTATGTTATGTTAGAATATGTTTGTTAACAACGCTAATCTTGTAGTGGTTGTCGTATGGTCGACTAACGGAATGGCGAAATTAATAGCGAATCTTAATTCAAAATATTTATATTAGGACATGATGTCCTTTTTTTCATTTTTTTTTTAAAACGTTGCCCCACACTCCACTCATCCACTAGGATTTCCTCCTGTGTCGTGTATACGTTTACAAACATACAAGTTCAAATACACATCACAGACCCGGAACAAGAATCTGTGGAACACACAAAGATTTGCTCTGTGCGGGATCAATCAACCTGCTACAACCTGCTGAATCCAGATATTCAGGGATTAGATGAGCTAACGTAACATCACGCTTTTTCCCCGAAGGTGTAGGCAGAGGTACACATTATGCCACTGTACAATGTAACACCCACTTTTCACTATTTATGTTATGAGTCCCATGTAATAGGGGGTGAGTCTATTGCCATATACCGAGCACAATTCCAGACTCCTAGCTACTACTGAGAAACAAAAACCTAGTAATACTTTGCCTGACCCCGGAATCGAACCCGAGACCCCTTGTCCGGCAGTCGCACTTGCGACCACTCGGCCAACGAGGCAGTCAGGCATTCTACTCACCCGTCACTATACCGCTAAACTAACTATACATATATACTTTCAGAGTACGCCTGTCTGTCCGTACAGCCAAAGGCTCTTAGGTTAAGCTTTTAAACCGGGGTCTAGTGTGCAATAGCACTTTATAGGAGAACTCTGCTTATACTAAAACATCACGGTAGTTGTGCGAGGAGCATGGCAGAGATGATTTATTTGCATAAGAGATGGTTGTGAAAGGTTTCGAGTGTAATAACATCGTGAAGAAATATTTACGAATCCATAACTCAAGTAGTAAGTAATCGATGTAGACTTTTACGGATTCAAAATCGGAAATAAATATGGTATGTTGATAATTTGTTTATCTATTTATTTATTTCTTCTTCACAAAACACAACAGTGAATGGCGGACTTAATGCCTTTAGGCATTCTCTTACTTAACCATAGGGAAGTTTATGGGTCAGCTGATAAATGAGCAGTCGGATCACTTGATGGTAGGCAATCGACGTCGCCCATGGACACCTGGAACACCAGAGGCGTTGCACTTTTGGGGATTAGGAGTTAGAGGATTGTTGGGAATTCAGGGATTGGGGAGATTGGGAAATGCGGGCGGGAGGGGGTGGGGGTTAATTAGCAAGATACTACGGCTAAGCATAAAACCGATGTGTTTCGTCGTGTGAGTGATGTTATAAGAGGCCTAATTAACCCCCTCCCCCTTCCTCAATCTTCCCATTCTCTTAATCCCCAACAATCCTCAAATTCCTAACCCCGAAAAGGCCATAAAAAATCAATGTTATCAGATCATGACCGGAATACTGCAATTGGCACTTGTAAATATAAAAGTGCGATATAACGAGCAAAGCCAAGTGTCTCACTAGTATGGTGTCACACAATCAACTCTATGATGTACGAATGAGCTAATATAGGGGCACAGGTAGAGGCGTGGAGACGACGCGCTACTTGAAAAATATTTTCTATTCATAATTTTTGAAAGTTGAGCGTCAAGCGCTGTGAAAGTGTCAATTAACCGACTTCAAAGTTAAAGTCAAAATCATTTATTTCAATTAGACCAGGAAGGCACTTTTGAACGTCAATTACAAAATATTTAAATAATAAGAAAATAAATGACAGTCTGTAGGTCAGTCCTCCAGTTGCTCTTTTTGCTCGTTCCAAAGAAAGCCTTCAAACCTTCAAGCAAAGAGCGTATTCCTTTTTAAAAGGCTGGCAACGCACCTGTGACTCCTCTGGTGTTCCAGGTGTCCATGGGCGGCGCTGATCGCTTACCATCAGGTGATCCGTCAGCTCATTTGCCTGCTATTCTATAAAAAGAGTGTAGATTCCTATGTAGAAGAACGAGCAAGAAACTCCATAGGTAACTCTTTTTCAATCAGGTTAAAAAGAAGGTTATCATTTTATATTAGAAGTCATCAAGGGAGGCCTATGTTCGAGGCAGCTGTGGGGACGTCTTGTGGCCTTTGATTGACTTTGTAATAATCTCCACCTGGGAACTCGGACTTGAGAACGAAACACCATTCATTATACACTACATTTAAAAATCTGTACCCTACACACTACACATATCTGCCCACCCTCTTTTAAACAACAGCTCTAAAATAAAACAATAACGCATAACACACTATATTGAATGATATTGTAAAAAAGTTTGTCATTATGTGTCACTAGGGAGTGATACACAGTGATACGTATATTGTCACAGTTGTACAAAATGGCCGCCGGGGACGTATTGTGCTGGATACAGTGTGATCATCATATCATATATTACATCTTTGATATAGTAGTGAGAGGTCCTGGGTTAGATTTTGTAGGAGAAAATTAATTATAGTTGATAAATTCTGCTACAATAGGCTATAATAATCGTCGTAATAGGTAGTAACAATAATATTATACAGTAATCAAAACTTCTTTACTTCTATACAATCATTTAAACATTCAACATTCGTTCAAATATTCGTTATTATGGTTAGATCATAACCTCAAAATCTGATACTTTTTTTCAAATATACCTTTTCTGCAGCTAGACCGCTATAAAAACAAGATAATTAAGGAGTCTACAAATGTTAGAGAATACAATACATAATTATCCGATCCTCTTGACTCCAGGGCCAACAATGTATGGACGCAGAGCAATGTCCTTTATTTATTGTTGATAACAGGTTTGTACAAAATACAGTTCTTAAATATACAATTAAGTAGATCAGCGATGTCCCGCCCTTTGGGCATACAATAGTCAGTACAACAGTCAATTAAAAAATATTAAATATCATAAAAAATACATCAAACAGGCCACTGAACACGCCATGACTGAGGGAGAGACTATATTGAAGCACTGATCTGTCCAATATGAAGTCTTTTATAGAATAGTAGCACTTATCCACGGAAATTATTAACTTGGTATTTATTCATGAGAAATAATCATTAAAAATAATAAAATAAATGAATAACAATCGTCTCCACCCCCCATCCTGTCTCAATCGACATCAACAATTGCTTAACGAAGTCATATCGTCGAGCCAATCACATCGGCATGTGACGTATAAGGCTTCACAAGTGATTGTCATGCTCTGCACACCCCCTATTACACAAATAGGGATTGATGATACGGTGTTATTGTACCCTAAAGGTTTTTTTTAAGGGGGGAAAATCATCGAATGACGTCTCCCGCCTGGGTGAGGCCGGAAGGAGTGTCAGATTCTTACTGACTAAAAACCACCCCGTTCCTACTCCTGCACGTCGGACCGGAGCCCCGGTATCCCGTTAGGTTCTTCGCGACTCTGTATCGGCATCAGCCCTATTGGGCCCCATCCGTGGTGGTCTGAACCCTACAGGATAAAAGAAGGATTGGAATACAAGTTTTGGTGGTAGCATGTTCAAATCATGTAGGTATACAACTTAATTGTGGGAGAGCCATGCTTCGGCACGATTGAGCCGGCTCGACCAGTGTGATTGATACCATGGTCTCACAGAAACGTTGCTGCGTTGTGTTCCGTCGTGTGAGTGAGGTTACCATAGACCCAATGACCAATCCCCAATCTCCCCAATCCCTTCCCTTAATCACAACAATCCTCAAATTCCTAATCCCTAAACCTAAACCGGTAACGGACTTAAAACGCCTCTAGTATTCCGGGTGTCCATGGGCGACGCCGATTGCTTACCATCAGGTGATCCGTCTACTCGTTTACCGGCTTATGCCATGAAAAATCTATGATCAGACAAGCAGAAAGAGATAATCTTTTTGATGGTAATTTACACACTATGAGACGGATTACCTGATGGTAATTTGCCCAAAGACATTCGCAACACCACAGAACTTAAAAGTTTGTTACCGGCCTTTCAGGGATTGGGGATTTGGGGTGAAATTGGGCCTTCAGTGACCTCACTCACACAACGAAACATACATACATATGCTGCGAAACTAACTTCGAACTATAGTTAATCCGAGGCGTATCTCCGAGATCTTTTGTTTCCCCAAAATCTTGAGGTCCGTAAGCCGATTAAGGGATTTTTGGATCAAAATTGGTAGAAAAGGTACCTCTACTGTAGTTGTTATTTTGTTGGTACTTTGGGACCAAGGTTTGTACCAATGTTTGTTGTTGGCTGGACTTGAACCTTATTAAGGAAGAAACACAGGCGTAATGTTGCAAGCCTTTCGGTTTTCTACCGGATACATTTCGGGGAGTGTGCGGGGGAATTGCACAACTTGATTCCCCCTAGTCCTTTCCATCATCGTACCACAAGACAATCCGCGAAGCGTCACCGATTCATGGTAGATGTTCCGCCCACACGCACGAAGCGCTTCGCTTCAAGGTTCCTCGTGCGTACTGCTAAAGAGTGGAATTCTTTGCCAGAGTCTGTATTTCCTGAAGGGTATAACCTGGGAGTCTTTAAGGCCCGAGTGAATAGGTTGCTTATGGGACGACGTGCTCCAACGTAGACCGCATCATCGCTTACCATCAGGTGAGATAGTGGTCAAACGTCGCCCCATCAATTATAAAAAAAAAAGAAAAGTATCAAAACCAAGTGTTTATGCAGCTCAGCATTTATGGTCAGGCAAACTAAACGTGTGTTCCATATTTCAGCTCAATCGGTTGAAGATATCTACTTCAAAATTCAGTTGCAAATTCCACTACATACACATAAGTACATCATCATCATCATCATCATCAACAGCCTATAAGTTTTCATTACTGACCAAAGGCCTCTTCTCACACGGAGAAGGTTTGAAAATTAATCACGACGCTTGCTCAATGGGGGTTCGCACTGGACCATACACTACGTACATCTTACTGATATTATAAATGCTGAAGTTTGTTCGTTTGTATGTTTGTTTGTCTGTATGTTTGTTACTGAATTACGTCAAAACAGCTGAAGCGATCGGGATAAAATTTGTAACAGGGGTAGATTATGGTTTGAAATAACATATAGGCTATTAATTTCACAAGAATGCGGGCGAAGCCGCTGGTAGAAGTTAGTCATTACATATATCAAGTACACAATTCCAACATAAAAACGACGAAAATTGAAATGACTGCATAAGTGCATAGACCGTCACGCTTGCTCAATGCGGGTTGGCGATTTATATGCATACATAGCAAGTTAAATAAAAACGGTAATACGCTTATTAAAATTCATATCGTAGTGATTGGATACTTTATTCATACATAGATAACATTTCTAAAACCCAATAAAATATAAATAATACTTTGTACGAACCAGGAATCAAACTTAATACCCCTCACCCTTCTACTACCTACAACCTAGTGGGCAAAGAAATAAAATCTCATAAAAGTAATATTTGGTCGGTAAACTAGTTTTGTACCGCGGCACTGCCCGCAAGCAAGTATTTGTTGGAACAGTGGTTCTCAAAGTTTGTAGTTCCGTTCTACAGTACAACACCACTCACAACAAGTTTTGGAATTTAATTCCGAACTTTTGTTTTGTTTCATAGAACAAGTGCTTAAAGAAAGTTCCGCTTTTTTTGAAAGAAAGTTTTTTTATATTTCGAATAAGGTTTGCTGGTGATTTTTAAGGGTCAAGAAAGATTATGATTGGGGTCAAGGACTGTGGAAACAGCATCAGTGGGCATAATGTCACTTAAAAATTATTGAATGGATTATTATGTCATCATCATAACATCACGCCTTTTATCCCCGAAGGAGTAGGCAGAGGTGCACATTACGGCATTTTATGCCACTGTACAATGTAACACCCACTTTTCACTATTTATGTTATGAGTCCCATGTAATAGGGGGTTAGCCTATTGTCATATACCGGGCACATTTCCAGACTCCGTGCTACCACTTTTTTTTTTTTTAAGGGGGGAAAATCATCGAATGACTGCTCCCGCCTGGGTGAGGCGGAAGGGAGTGTCAGACTCTTACTGACTAAAAACCACCCCGTTCCTTCTCCTGCACGTCGAGCCGGAGCCCCGGTTACCCGTTAGGTTCTCCGCGAGTCCGTGCTACCACTGAGGTTTTTAGAAACCTAGTAATACTTTGCCCGACCCGGGAATCGAACCCGAGACCCCTTGCCTGGCAGTCGCTCTTGCGACCACTCGGCCAATGAGGCAGATTATTTATGTGTGCCTG